GCACAGCTCGCGAACTTTCATGGATCTGTTCTATTAGATTGTTGCATATGAAATGGCTAATTTCACAAGTATATAAAATTTTCAATACTTTTTTCTTAAATATTCTTCCATTATCAGATTGCTCTTATTACACATACATGAATCGAAGGTTCAAAGTTAGCCAAAAACAGCGCAATCAGTGGTCGAATAATTATTTCATAGTGAAATTGCAGATTATCCAAAAAAAAAAAAAAATTGGAGTGACCACTTTTTAGTTGAATAAAAATTTAATAACGAAACTAAAGTGAGCAAATTTTTCGAGGACCTCCCTGCACCTAGAAATGCAGAGACATAAATATTGAAACCAGTAGAGCACACTTGGTTTAATAAATATTAAAATTTTTCCTAAAATTGCAGACGTCGAAAGTTTCATTTCTAACAATCTGAATCATCTGAAAATTCCACGAGCACGTTTCACCGTCTCTATCGACCGGTTAAACCGCCTCGTTAGTCGGGCAATCTCTCTCGTGGCGAACAGAAACGCCAAAATTCGGGCCGCGTATATCAAAGGCTTTTCTCTTTCGAGTAATTACAAGAGAGAGGCTCGCAGTATCGTGATACACGACCACGTGCGTTTCCATTCGCCTAGCATGGTACATACATACGTACATGTATATACAAGAGTGAATCGAGGCTTCGTGGACAGTCTAACGAGACCGCAGCAGGCACACCCCGCCTATTAGTCACCGCGAAAAGGATCGACGTGTCAATTCGGTCGATGTAACAATGATAAATGCATTTTGTTCCGCTCGATCGAGGGATAAAAGAAGGAAATTTTTAGCGATTCCATTCTCTCGATGTCACCAGACGATAACCTGGCAATTGAACGAGACAAACGTAGCGACGTTGTTTTTCTCTTTTTTTTTTCTCTTCGGAATAGAGACAAGTAACGAATGTGTGGTAATTAGAAACGTGACTTTGCGGCTCCGCTTCTATGTTAACGATGCCTTATGACGGAGTACTGGGCAGTAATGTTTATTGCAAATTAAGCGTCTTTTCCTTGTCTAATAAGTGAGAGATTTGAGTTCGTTATGTTTCACGTGATGTCCGATATTCGTATTGTAATTTCTTTTGTTTCGGAAATACTTGGAATTGGATAGCTTTTTGATCGAATAATCGAATGATCGAAGAGAGAAATTTTTCATTTCTAATTATTTGCGAATTGATCGCTTAGGTGATTAGCTCCTCGAGAATTTTTCAACACTCGACTAATCACTTGAGCGATCAATTCGCGAATGATTAGAAATTTAAAGTTTCTTTCGTTAAAATTTCAAATCCTTGAAATAGAAATTAAAGATTTCTAACTTTAAAATTTCTTTCTTTGACACGTTAAGCGCCAAGCCTGTTTTTTCTTCCTTTCCGTTTAGCCCGCGATATCCGATTTCACCGATATGCTGGCGGCCGGAGATCTGTGTAAGGTTGCGATAAGACTGCATGTGTTTTAATAATACTCGTTAAAATATTTTTTTTTGCTAACAAGTAATATTTAGGTACATTCTTTTATGATCTCCAAATTATTTAAAATTTATTAACAGAAGAATATAATCTTTTAAATTGTACATCGTCAGTCACCGGTGACTGACGCGGTCCGAACGGAATAGTATACTATCAGTCACCGCGGCCTGTACGGAAAGTATAGTGTCAGCCACCGGTGACTGACATGGCGCTTAACGTGTTAAAATTTAAAATCCTTAAAATAGAAATTTAGAATTTCTAACTTCAAGCTTGAAGACTCTCTTCCTTTTTACTGGAATGCCATTAGAAAAACTCCATACGAAAATCCGACCGAACACCACACTCGACAAAAACGAAACTAAAATACAACAATGAAACGCATCCTCCGCTGCAGAAAGTTTACCACTGCAACCTTTCAACTGAACATTAAACCGCACATGAATCTCGCGTATACGAATGCCCGAGCAGCACATAACTACAAGACTTTCTCTTCCTTCTTCGAACTTCTTCGGTAGAGAACGTCGTCGTTACAAATACACTTTATCCTCCACGGAGTTTCTAGTTCTGGTCGCTAATGAGACGATCGAAATGGTATGAAGAGCTCGCGTTACCCTTTCGACGTGGCAACAAGAACAACAAGAGCACCGTGGATTTCTGCTTGCGTTATTGAATGGCTCTAAACGAACGGGAGCGGCCTTAAAAAGCAGCTACCAACGAGTATATACACACATATAGGTTGTAGTAGTCCCGTCGATCCAATAAGCCTTGTTGCGTCCGCACGTTCGAGTAGGGAAGAAGAAGAAGAAGAAAAAAAGAAAAAAGGGTTTTTCTGAAAGAAGAGCAAACAATGGAACGTGGCGCTGTATATAATGGTGACGAAACAGTGGAGGCTTCAACGAGCGATCAATCAAAGCGCGCTCGAACTCATTAACAACCGGGACAAAACGCGCAATTAGCCGCTAATAACGTGTCCGTCTATTAAGCCCAAGAGTAACCCTGTCAACCGGAACGCAAACGTGGAGAGAACCGGTTCGTTCCTCGTGATTTGTTCGCGTGATTTTTGCCAAAACGAATACTGCCCCGCGTTGGCAAATCGGTAGCTCCTTGAACGAAACAGAAAAGAGATTTCCAAAGGGCCGCCAAAGATCCTGTTACGCTATTATTCAATGGACAAGTCTGTTGCGCTACTATGGACATGTCTACATACACAGTAGTCCTTAATCCTTTCGCTGTGACAGACGTTTATTACGGTTATGTCGAAACGGCTATTTATGCTGGCTTTATTAAGAAGAATAGCGCAGGCTGATAAGCTTTTTCTCAGATAAGCGGGTTGAACAGTTGAATTGAACTGTGATTAGTAAGCGAGGAACCAGTTTGAATGAGCTTGCAGTAGGTGAATGTCGAAATTGATTTGGTTCGGAGAAAGGTTCTGTCCTTCTCTATGGTTTCTGTTTAAATCGTGTGGGATTAATATGTTTGTCTTCTTTTTGAATTTGCGACACAATAGCCATTATTTTGGGTGACCACCGATTCTCGCATTTTTTTATTACAATTATTTCCAACTGTTCTTTTACCGACAAACTTGTAACCAATGACTGACATTATTAACATAATGAAAATCGTACCAATCGTGAATAATTAAAAATAAAGGTTTCAGATATTGCGAAAGGTCGGGATGAACTTTTCTCGAGAAAACGACACGAACAAGTTCGTTCTAATATTAATTACCTGCCTTCATCGTCATCTTTCCATTTTGATTAATCAGAACTCTATAATTCTCGAGAAACACACTTTCACACATACGAAACCAGCGTAATCGCAGATGTGTGATTGATACGCTCCGCTTTCACGAGCTCGCTAGAGAACCATTTCTAGAATCGTACCGTGCACCGCGTGTACGCGCATTGTCCAGAGTAATCGAAACGAATTTATCATCCGAGAGAGAGAGAAAAAACATTCCGACCGTTTCATTTCACTCTGGCAACAAAACCAATCGAACCGAACCCCTCCGACTGGCCCGTCGAAGGGGTTAATGCATTCACCGAGGATGTAGGTCGCGTACCAGGATATCCATCAGGCTCGCTCCCTGATGAATATTAAATGTTCACGGTGGTTGAACTTCGCGTCGTCGTTACCGTCGTGTATCGAGTCCTCAGCATCGAAGCGTCCCACGTCTTTCTCACCGGCAGACAGCCTGGTACCACCACGGCCATCCCATCTGCCAGATTAGAGAGGCAGAGACGGAGTGCTCGAAAGGGGAGGCGATCGGAGCTCGTGTGCAAGAAACGAAGTGAGCGAGGCAATAAGCGGGAGACGAAGCGCGAGGAATGCTCGACAATCACGATCGACACGATCAGAGGCGTCCGTTCGCTCGGCGTCGAGTCCTCAGCCACGGCAAACGATCGTAATTAATAGACGAGAGCTGTGGAAAGGGATCAGAGAGAGAGAGAGAGGTGAAGAAGAAGGGACGGTGGTAATCAGGCTGTTACTTGAAAGGGAGGACTCGACGAAACCCTAGTCGACGTCATTTGTTTAAGTTGATCGTTGGCCGTCGCGGCCGAATAAGGCAACCCGTGTTCGCCACTCTGCGGGGAGTGCGAAAGAACAAAGAAGGAGCCGTGAGAGGGCCTCCGGGACGAGATCGTGCCACGACCAGACAGAGAAGATGAAGAAAGAGGGAAAAGGCTGAGGGAAGAGCAGACACCTGCTGTTTGCCGCATTGTCTCTCTTTTCGTTCTTTATTCCTTCGTCCTTGTTTCACCAACGGTATTCTTCTTCCCCGGCTGCTTCTCCCGTTTCTTCTTCTTCTTGTTCCTGCTCCTCTTCTTCTTCTTGGATTTGTACGGAACAATCCACGAGACCCTTTGGGGAAGGGAAAGAAGGTGAGCCGTTTGGACCGAGGCGACGACAAAACAATTGCAAAAGGCGAATAGAGGTTTTTTCGTGATCCTGCTCTATTTCCAAATCGAGGGTGGAGATCAAAGAAGGGATCGATCTTGCTGGACACGCGAGATGTCCCAGAAAGATGTACACGATCTGGGAGAATTTTGTCGTGTGAAGTAGTTAGGGTAGTTTGATGAAAAGTGTCGACGGTATTAATTTAGCGATGAATTATACTGTTAACTGTGACTCTTTTACGTTCATTCTAATCTATCCTCGTCATTCCACCTTATTTTCTACAGTATCTTAAACCCACCATTCATAAAAGAATCGTATTTCTCTAAATAAGGGTCACAAGGCAAGTGAAATCCTTCACTTTTTCCTTGGAAATTGCAAAGGGGACACTCAAATTTAAAAAAAAAATTCTCGAATGTCGAACTGAAGGTTAAAAAATGAAAACCGTGTGTGACACAAATATACATAGACGTTAATTTTTGTTTCTTTGGAATTTCAGAGGTGAAACAGCACCGTGAGACGAATTGCTCGTGACAGTCGAAGAGAGGACGAAGAAGTGGGAATCATTGTCGAGATCACCTTGGCAAGGTCCATGGGTTCGTAGAGGGCATGAGAGCTCATCATGTTCGAACAGCGACACGGGCCACGAACGCTGTCGATTTGCAACCTCTTCGGCGTGATATTTCTTCTACTGATCGTCGCTGGTAGCTACGACGTGTCAGCGGATTTCAACTCCGAGTTTGTCAAAGGGAAAAGTGAGTTGTCCCCTTCGAAACCTCCCCTTTTACTACGAACTTCTACTGCTGTAAGATAATAAGTACTCGTAAGATCAACTACCAAGTGAGTATCTACAGGACGTTTCTTCAAAAATGTTACTTCAGCACTGACAAAGTATTGACCGCTGATAACGAAACCTCCCGTAGATCTCAATATTCCAAGCTCTACATCACCTGCCCTTAACTCTTACACTCCCTCGTATATCCCGAGTACATCTGAAAGATCGGGGAAAACAATTCTCGAACATCCTTACACTCGAACGACACTTGCCTAGAACCATTACTCTAAGCAATAACCCCGCGAAATTTACTGCACCGAAGGATCTTCAATCTTTCAGACATGTTCATAACTCCCCACCGTGTATTACAATTAACCGTAAGCTTCGTATATTAGCCTGGGAATAATCGTTTCGACCGGTACGAACGAAAATAAAGCCTGACATTCTTCGTTCGACCGGTACGGTATCTCTCTCTCTCTCTCCCGCGTATCAATCCGAGGCGGAGAGAACTCTTCCTAGCCGCGGGAGTACATCATCGAGGCCGGCTAGAAAAGTAGAAAGTAAAGCGTGTTGCGCCAGCTTTACGGCCGCGTGGGTGGCTTGTTCGGCCGGTCGAAGGGGCCCTTTACTCCAAGTACCTGGAAAGTACCGTTCTTCCCACTCGACCAGGAGGAAACTCTTTAAATCCCGCCTCGGTTACTAGCGTTCTAGGGCCCCGATAGGAAATACTCGGGCCTCTTTCGGGAACGGCTAGCGCGTGTAGGTGCAGTGATGCGTGTAACGAGATTCCTCTTGATCGCTTGGTCGATGTGGGTCAAGCATCGGCACCGAGACGAGCGAACTCGAGGAGCCTGCCAAGACCTTCCTCGTTCACTTTTATTGCACCCCTAGTTATTGCCGGCGCGCACCTTTTTCTCGACCACACGCGTGATCCTCTTCCCCGGTGATATACGACCGAACATCGAAGACGTCTCGGAGATGTGGTTCGTGGAAGAAAATGTGTTGGGTAACTGAGGAGAGATGGATGTTGAGTACATGACGAGGAGGTGGGATGGAGATGTTGTTTCGAAGAGATCGAGATTGGTGGAGATAAAGGTGGAATTTGGCAATTAACACACGCGATGGTTTTTGGAGTGGAATTTTCGTTAGGCGAATAAGAATACTGTTGGAGTGAAGACGTGCAAAAGTAGATTAACTTCTTTAGGAACGATTACAAGTGTTGCTATGTGATGCTATTTCTGCTTTTCTTGTTAGCAGATTTTATAATTAATTTTGGAATTCTGAGAAAAATTAAACGCAGACACGTATGTGTGTCAGTGTCCCTGAAAAAGTACTGTTATTGACAATTTTCTGTATTTAAAATAGATATTTTATTATCACCACAGTGAAAATTCCAAAGTTGAATCGGTCAAATCTAAAAATTCAATCCCACAATCGTCGCAGTACGAAAGAAATATCCAGACTCGGCAAACCTCCAAAATACAATGAACGACTGCCGAAACACCCCTAACGCAACCAATAATCAGCGACAGAAACACGCCTCAATCAGCGAGCGCCGTAATTAGATAACAAGAAGAGAATTAGCGGGAGAAATGCAATAAATAGCGATTTCCATCGAACAGTATCGAACGCTCGAATTGAAAAAGAGTTGGAGGGGAGGCAAAGACGCGGCTCGTCACGCAGATAGCCACCCAAGATCCCACGGAGCGCCGCAATTTCGAGAGATATCACCTAAAGTGGTCTCCATAAAGGTTTCCATTAACATGATAAGGAGAGGTTGATACGTTCGTGGCCATTAAGGTACGGTAACTTACGTCGTGTCGCCGCCGCGCTGCGGTCTCTCCGCCGATTTCCTTCGATCATTTTTTATTTCTCCGGACCACGGGAGAGATACGTTCGACGCGTTACCGGCCGTACGATACCCGACGGACGCGCGACATTTTTCAACAGCGAGATTATACCACAGCGGCGAGTTAATCGTTGCACTTTATCGTAGCGAGCTTTTAGCGGGTATCGCGGCCACGGAATGAAGCGTCAATTAACATCGCGGATTCGCCGCCTGTCCTCGGCTAAGAACGTGGAAATTGCAGTTCGCCGGGGCAAATTGAAATGTTTGCGCTGACTGGCGCGATGAGTTATGCGATACGGTTGGAAATTGTGAAATCAAGGGGAGTATTATTTAATCGAATCTTGCTGTTGTTTGGTAATTCTGGGACACTGAGTGCCACCTTTTCGAACGTGACACATTTTTTTTTTTTTTAATATTTTTCAATTTTATAGCGTGCTTTATTACTGTTGTTTGTATTCATTTATTTGGAAAGTTTAGGAAAAATAGCGCGAAAAATCGAACGATATTTTATATATTTTATATATTTGAAAACGAATCCAACGCACCCCTCAAATTAGGGGCAAACATGACCTGAATGGTCATTTATAATGCACAAATTTGCCTAAAAACTTCCCAAAGAACCCAATATATATTTCTTCAAAATTTACTTTCTGCGTATTCACCTTTAAAATAGAATTCCACAATAATTAAGCTAAAAAGCAATACGTCAAATTGTAGATCTACACGGTACTACTCGAACAATAATATTCAACCGATAAATACGCGATCCAGATTTATCGTCACCGCGTTCATTTAAACCGTGCCTTCCATATGAAACTTCTTATAAAACTCGTATCCCATATTTAGCACGATTAACTCCTGTATAAGTACAAGGAACTCGGAGGACGTCTCACTGTAGCTTTGCCCCCCATGAATGCAATTTTGGAGCTAACGAAGACATCGTTTTGGACAGTCGGCAAAAAGTAGTCACCGGTAGTCACGCCGATCGGAAATTGCTTTTTGCCCGGCGACCGATTTCGTGCGCTTTCGGTCACGTTCGCTTTTACATTAACGAAATTCGTGGCCTCTGTCTTTTTACGGAGGCGGGCCCGCCTTTGATCGCGACGCATTAATTCTATCAGCTCTCCACGGCTTTCCCCTTAAGTAGGCGCCTGATACGCCGTCGATCTTCCGGATTACCCCGGGCAAAAGCCCGCGCGTATCGTCCACCGATGGGAAGAAACATGTGTCCGCTAACGACCCCGCTACCACACCGCGTTTATAATCGTGCTGCAACCTATCGAAAGGCCGGCGCGCACACCTTGGTATTCGGGATTTACGATCTTTTATATCTCTCGATTTATGACCCCTCCCGTTCGCCGTCGTCCTACGTGAATTACCTATTAGAATTTTGTAGAACCAGATAAACTTCGTTGCTTCTTTTACGACGGACGGCACGGAATAATTCATTCGTTTCTTGCCTTTGCGGGGCTTGCGACGGCCTTTGCGGAGGAGCTAAGATAGATAACGCTGATGAATTCCCGGCTTGATGAGTTCTTTAGGCTCTGTTCTTTCTGAAGAAAGGTACCTGCCCTTTCAATTTCTTGTATACTATTCGATAAAAATTCAGGACTCTTTTAGTCTTTACTCTTTTCCACTTACAATTCTACTTCTACCTCTTCGAACAAACTTAACCCATTTGGGTTAAGTCTGTGAACTCAGTTAAGTCAGTACTCAAGTCAATTGACAAAATGGTCAAAATGGTTAAGAATAGGTAAACTAAGTTGGTCTCAAATGGGCTAAGCAACACTAAACCAAAAGAGTACTCTATCTACCTGCTGGATACCAATCTACCTTTGGTAAACGCCAGCGCATCGCGAACACTCATTTCGCCAAAAATATTTTCTAGTTTAGTTCCTAGTCACCTAGGACCTCTGCCACATTCCTACACCTTTTACCTCAACCCCTCTCTAGTCCCTTCCACGTCTTCTTCTAAACCCTATAAATACAGCTACCTCAAAAGCGACACCGGTCATTATTTCCAACGTCATCCTGCGACTCACAACCTGTTACAAATTTGAATAAACCTCTCGCTAATATTTGAAAAGTGTTGCACAGTACCCGGAATCCAACGTGCCATCAAATTATACCACACCAAACTTCGTTCTTCCACTTGCCTATGCAAGCCAAGCTAATTTCATCTCTCCTTCGCGACACTCATCTCCGCGCCCCTAACTTCCGTCACGTCTCGAAACGTCCACGAGTTATCAATTATCCTTCGACCTTCTTCTGGGTGGCTCGGCTGAATCGCGATTTGGTCTGATCGCGTTTTGGAAGCTGGTAGGCCACGACGAAACTGTGAGCAACAAACAAGGACACGCTCGGTAGCATAAACGCGTCGCGGGGATCACTCGGTGTGCAATGTCCGCTACGGTGGAGAACAACTCTATCGACGTGTATGTGCGGGATCGGAAAGGGACATCTGGGAGGCATGCCTTAATTGACCGCTCGGAATATTGACGAGATCCCAGAGACGGATTGAGACGTTGAATTTCCGAGGGACGTTCGCTTTTTTTGCCCGCCCCATGAAATATGACCGTTCAATATGCTAGGCAGATATTTATGTACTCGTGGGATTGCGCCCGGCGCAGGGATCGACGAGGAGATCGGGACAGGTTCGGGGACAGTAGACAGAGCCTTCTTTTTATTTTTTCCCCTCGCCTTTTTTCAACCGTCTTCGAGAGGGATTCTAGAGGATGCCTCATTGTTTCTACCTTCGCTCATGGGAGGATATTTGCGACAAAGTTACCAACGCAGCATTGCCTTTTGTGCGATTCTCGAATCGATCTTCAGATGCTGGACGCTGTTTCGGTTGGGTTCGACGATGTTTGAGAGGAGAATGGACGTTTAATTGGTATCAAATCGTCGTAGATGTTAGAGATCTATTATTTCGAGAAGTGATTATGGTTGGGATACATTTTCATAGGTACTATTCATAGAAAAATGAGATTCGATCACTTTCTTTGTACTGTCCTTCATTAGGACTTAAGTTTCTAGAGGCCTGCACACACGGCATTCCAACTTTGCTCAACCCCAGTACGGTCGTCGGGTCTTTTTTGACCCATAGCCTTCTTACTTTTTTAATAACTTTT